GTACCCGTTACTTGGGAGAGATTTGTTACAGAAACTTCATGCCACTATAAGCTTTAAGCCATCAGAAACACTTGAGGAGACGAGTGTAGAGGTGACGGTCCCTCTGTCCGAAGAGTACTTGCTGGCGATGCTCCCGGACGGCGAGGGAGAAGGAAAACAGGATCCTGAAGAGACTGCAAACGCAAGTACCAGGGGTGTGGGCGGAGACAAACCCGCCTGGGTTAGCTGTCCACCAACCGCCAGTGCTGGCCCAGCTGACCAGTACGGCCCAGCCGGTCCGGATCAGACAGTACCCTGTCCCAGCACGAGCCAGGCAGGGGATTGCGGGGCACTTGCAACGCCTATTAGAGGCAGGCATTCTGAGGAAATGCCAGTCTGCATGGAACACCCCCCTCCTCCCTGTCCAAAAACCTGGGACCCAGGACTACCGACCGGTACAGGACTTGCGGGAAGTAAACGCTCGAGTTGAGACAATACACCCCACTGTGCCAAACCCGTATACCCTCTTGAGCTCGTTGCCCCCGACTCATACCTACTATTCTGTTCTGGACTTAAAGGACGCTTTCTTTTGTATACCTCTGGCCCCCCAGAGTCAGGAAATTTTTGCCTTCGAATGGAATGACCCTGATAATGGACTAACGGGGCAGTTCACATGGACCAGACTGCCCCAAGGGTTCAAAAACTCACCAACCATTTTCAATGAGGCCCTGAGTAAAGATCTCCAGGGAGTTCAGGAGAACTCATCCTTCAATAGTCCTCCTCCAGTATATAGATGACATCTTGGTGGCAGCCCAGACACAGGAGGAATGCGAATCAGCTACACGAGACCTGCTCCGAGACCTCGAAAGAATAGGCTAGCTATAGGATCTAATAATGGACCAGCATTTGTCTCCAAAATTTCACAAGAATTAGCAAGTAGATTAGGTATCGATTAGAGACTCCATTATATTTATAGGCCACAGAGTTCAGGACAAGTAGAGAGGATGAATAGGACACTAAAAGAAACTTTAGTAAAAATAAAAGAGGAGACCGGCGAGAATTGGGTAGAGCTGCTCCCTTTCGCCCTCTTCCGGGTAAGGTATACCCCATACATTAAAGGTTGGACGCCCTATGAAATATTGTATGGGCAACCAGTACCCTTAATCCCTAAGTTGTCCACAGAAGAAATAGAGGTGTCTAACTATAATTTCCTCAAGTCCTTACAGGCGCTGCAAGAGATCCGAGGTGAAGTGCGCGCCTTCCAACAAGCCCTTAATAGAGAAACCACACCACCAAGGGGAGTCAGCATTAAGTCTATTAGAGCAAGTGTTTCCATATTTCAACAATACCCAGCCTAACATAACCGAGTCCTGCTGGTTATGCCTCAGCCCCAGACCCCCATTCTATGTGGGCTTAGGGGTTAACACCACCGGGAAAGGAGAAGGGGTGCCTGAGACAAAACCCCTTCCCGAGAACCCGGACCAGGACCAAATGAAGGACTTCCAACAGTGTACATTTGAAAGTACCCTTACATTAGCAGAATTCCATGGGCGAGGCACCTGTTATTTGCTGGCGAACTATACCCTTGCAGCCTCAAACTATAGTGACTATTGCCTTAACCAAGAGCACTTGCCGGGAGACCCTAAGAATTTGACTATTACATTAGCTCCAGAAGGACTATGGTTTGTCTGCACTCAAGGTATCTTCAAGTGTCTAGTACCAACTAGCCCTGAGCTTTGTGTTAGTGCTTACATCATTCCCCAAGTGTACTTATATGGGGGAAACCCTGATTTTCTGATACGGGCCCCCATTCGAGCCAAGCGAGTCCCATTGCTAATTCCCATCGTCGCCACTATCGGTGTCGTAGGGTCGGCTGCTGTAGGAGCAGGGGCATTGATCCATGGGGAAAACAGTCTCAGGGCCTTGTCACAGACTTTCTCCAAAGACGTCTCCTTACTCCAAGAGCAAGTAGAATATTTAGAGCGCCAAGTAGACTCCCTAGCAGAAGTAGCACTCCAAAATCGAAGAGGGTTAGATCTAGTATTCCTGCAACAAGGAGGAGTATGTGCAGCTCTTGGAGAAGATTGTTGTTTCTATGCCAACCACTCAGGAATAATTAGAGAAAGTGTAAAAGTACTCACTAGACGACTTAAAAGTAGAGAACAAGAGGATGAGTCGTCCTCCTGGTATTCTTCCCTATCTAAGACTTCCCCTTGGCTAACTACGTTGATATCGGCTCTAGCCGGACCCTTGATCCTCCTCCTATTAGCCCTGACCATAGGCCCAATAATTCTAAACAAGCTCATAGCCTTTATTAAAGATAGAATAGAAACAGTAAAACTTATGGTGTTGTCTCAGCCCTATACAATCCTCCCTCAAGAGGAGCATGAGTCAAGGGTTTGACTAATAAGAAAGAGAAGGAGGGAATGTAGAGGCCTGCCCAAATAAGGCTAGGGTATTGAGGCCTGCCCAAATAAGGCTAGGAAATTTTTAGGCGCCAACACCAGCTGCCCGCCAACAGCAGCCCAATCAGGAACTTTTGCCTTAGTTTGATTGAGCCAATAGCTAACCGCTACATCTGCTTCTGTATCCCTTGCTTGCTTGCCTGCCCCTATAAAAACCCAGTAGTCTGTAAGCCAGGCGCGACTTCCACTTTGGCGGCTCTGCGTAGCCGTGAGACTACGGTCTCGTTTGGGAAGTTCGCCCCTGCGCAGGTAAAACTTGGCCAATAAATTTACCATCAAATCGCTCTCAGTGTTCGGGGATTCCTTTCGCTCGCAACTTGAATACAACATTTAAATCATCATTTTAGTTTTTTCTACAATAGACACTTTATACAGAATACTTCTACTTAGACTTTGTAACCTAATTTTGTTTCTATTCAGTGTTGAATCCTCTTTCCCATTGTATATTGTTTTAAATCTATTTCTCAAAGTGATGAGACATTTAAGTATACTCATTTGTGGGAATCTAAGGAATGGTGGCTACCCTTAGTTCTCAGATTGAGTTATCAGACCAGTTGCAAAAACGTCATCTGGGAACTTGCCAAAAATACAAGTTCTCTGGTCCCGCCCCGGACCTACAGAGTCTGAAATCCAGACATAAAACAAACCCTCTTGGTGGTTTCGCTGTCTCTTAAATTTAAGAATTTGTTCTCTGGATACTTACTTCCACCCACCCCCAGCCCCCACAGATGGTAATTAACTCTCTTTTCTCTGATTATTAACAGCTACAACCATTTGACAAGGAGAGAATTCTAAGAAGCTCTAGAATTAAATTACAACAGCCAGAGGGAGAGAGAGAACTGTTGGAGATGTTTATTTAAAGCTATACAGACTTAAAATAGTGACCCAATATCTTCACTAAAATATCAGAGTCCTTTAGGATACCCACAGATGAACACAGTGCTTCCTTCTCCCTCTGCCCTAAACTGGGGTACCATATCTCAGGAAAAGAAGTAGACTTCTATGATTCAGGCTGCCAGCACCATCAGCTGTGTCACCATTCAGGATCCCCAGCTAATCCAAAGCCATGTGGCCTACTGGCAAGAGTTCTTTCACCCTTATTCCAGGCAAAGTCTCTCCTGCTTCCTAGGCCACATGGCTAAAGGGAGCACCCCGCGTTGTCTTCTTCTATCAAAGCTGTGCTGGTCCCTATTCTGGCCAAAACTGTGTGGTCCTTCTCTCCACCAAAGCCTTGAGGGGTCCCCACTCTGGCAAAGCCCCGTGGTTCTCCTCCCCAATGGCTGCCATGTCTGGTTTTAAATCCCTGTGCCAGTCTTCCTCTTTACCCCCATTTCCGACTCCTCCTACAATCAGTTACACCTGCCAGCATTCCTGTATTATTCCAAGTTTACCGGGCTGCCATCATGAATCTGGGCAGGTGTGTCCCCATGTCATGAAGCCAATCTTCTCTAAGGTCTCACTCAGGCGCTGTAACCAGGGGAAACTGTACCCCCAGTTTCATCTTGGGTGGAAGTCACTTCCCTCCCCCTGGCTCAAGGAATGGCCATAGATAGCTATTTAACATATATATGCAACCAGTTAAAGGTTATAGATATGTTAAATCACCATGCCAGAGGCTAGCTGCAAGGCTGTTGTTATTCAAAACCACCCTGCATGTTCCTGCTTCATATGTCCCTTCCCCCAACTCACACCTGTTGAAGGAAGGGGTGAGGACAGGACATACTGTGTATCTTTCTAATATTTCCTGGACATCCTGAATTCTGGACCCCATTCCAAATCCCTATTTGGAGGCCCCCCTCTTCACTGCACCCTGTATCACTTTGACACATCGGGACCAATGGTCCTAAAGCCAATGTAAATTCTTCCAGACAACTTGCATCTTTCTACCCACTTCACCCACTTGATGTATAAAAAATGCTTGCGAACTCCTAGACAACAAACATATTGTCTTTCATGCCCTTTAATACCGTCTTTTTGCTTGGGGTTTTTGGCTCAGTAAAACTTTTCTTAAAGACTTGCAGCCTTGGGGGGTCAAAATTTTTCTTTAACACATTCCTTAAGTATTCATTATTCAATTCATAGCCTACTTCGAGTTTTCATTTTATTTTTATTTAATGTCAATTGATGCCTGACAAAACAGAGCACATATGATCTTTACTTGAAAAACAACAGTTGGAGGCTAACCCCTGGGTAAGGCACCAGCCCAGCAATTCTCTTACTAAAAGCCCCATGGTTAACTGTTGGCCAGCTCTAAGAGTGCTCTGCAGAAATCCGAGGCCCCGCGAGGAAGCTAGACCCGGAGCGTAGCGTTCCAACTAGCTGCCCGCGTAGGTGTTCTCCTTTCAGCCTAGGTTCACAATTCAGACTGAGTATTGGCCCATTTATGCCCAGAAAATATCAAACCTCAGGGAAGCCCCGCCCTACGCTAGGGTGCCCTCCAATCGTAGCGTGCGCTAGGACGCACAGCTCTGGGAGGGCCGTGAGTACAGAGAAGCTCCGCCCCTCTCCCATTTGTCCGCCAATTGCAGCGCGCGGTGGGGCGCGCCTAGGGTACGCAACGCGCCCTCCAGGAGGCCCAGCCCACGCGTGCTTGGAGTTTGGAGATGCCCGGTGGCGGTAAATTTCGCGGCTCAAAGGTGAGCTGAAGTCGGGAGCTAATGCTGCTCTGTGGGTCAGCGCGTCCTTTCTAGGTCTTCACCTCACCCGCTTGCCCGCAAGGCCCAGGGGACGCGTGGCTGGACTTGGCCTGCTAGGGGCGAAAGATGGGTGCTATGTTTGTGGGGGTCCCTGGCAAAGCTCCGGCCGGTTGCGTCTGTGAGCGTGTACTGAGCCTGTGCTGCTTTGTGCGGCTCTAAAGGTCGCTCTTCTGCCAATGTGTGCGGACTGAGGGAGTCGTGCCTTCCCAGTAGGATACGGTTGTCAGGGAGAGGATCCCTTGTAAAGGCCTGCGGTCTCAGCGATAAGGGACGGAAGTGAGACACTGGATGTGGATGGGAGTTCGATCTGGAACCAGCGTGTATTTACCCTCGCTGGTTTCGGGTTCTTTATTTGTCTCTTTTTGACTCTTGTGTGATACACCAAGACAGAGGTGGATATTGGAATGGCTCTGCTGTCGTGCCCCCCACTCCCGCAAATACCTGTTGCCACACTTTCTATTCTCTCCTAAATTTTTTCGGAATCTTCTTCCTGCTTAAGTGAGGAGAGTCTGAAGTTAACTGCTGCCAGTCTGTTTACCAACGTCTGCCACTGTGGCCATGGGGTGGGTACGTGTGTAGATAATACTGCACGAATGATATTGAAACTATTATACTTGCACACCTTCCCCCCCCATGAATTGTGTTTCTTCTGGCATGTGTCCTGTGCCCCTTTAAAGATATTTATAAATTTCTTCCTTATAAATATGCTTGTCTCATAGTACTAAAACAAAACCTTAAAAAGCATATACAGTGCCTGCTTTCTTGACTCATCTTCCTTTTACCAAAAAAAAACTTTCCTGAAAAAAATAGTGCACCTATACTGATTCAACTTCCTTGTCGCTACCAGTGACTGATTTTTGTAACTGATTTTAGGGAGTAAATGAAACCTATGTCAAACATATTTACCGATTTTTTAAATAATAAAATGGTCTATCACTTGCTTTTTATTTTTTAAAGATTTTATTTATTTATTTTTAGAGGGGAAGGGAAGGAGAGAGGGAGAAAGATGTCAATGTGTGGTTGCCTCTTGCATGCCCCCTACTGGAGACCTGGCCTGCAACCCTGGCATGTGCCCTGCTTGGAAATTGAACTGGAGACCCTTTGGTTCTTAGTAGGTTCTCAATCCACTGAGCTACACCAGCTAGGGCTGATTCTGATTTCCATCAGGTATTCTAATTTCAGAAGTAGTAACGTGTGTGGGGAAAATCAGGGGAATAATATGAAATTGTTAAATCCAGTATAACTTATTTACTTGGTCACTCCAGCATTTGACACATGTTCCACCTGCTTTTATTTATTTTGTTTATTTTGGACCATCCCTGAATGTTAGTGTACTGATTCTCTTCCTGCCTTGCTGCTGCTTATTTACTGCTTTTTACTTTCTTCCTGTCATGTTCTAATTTTTGACCCTGTGTTTTTTATCACTTAACAAGTTTGTTTTAGGCAATCTCATACATTGATGTTAGCTATCATTGCTACACAGATGTCTTTGAAGTCTGTATTTGACCTTTTCCTGTGAAATCAGTTTAATTTCAGTGTGTCATTAAGTCATTCTCGCACCCTTAGGCCCTAATAGTTCCTCCTGTGTCTTGTTGATTCAGCTTATTATTGATAGTTTGGGCTAAGTGATAGTTCGGGCTAAGAATGCTTAAGATACTTACCTAGGCCCATATTATTTATAGCAGGCCCTTCCATTAGAGGCAGTGTTGTGGATGGACCAGACCTGGTGGTTCTTATGACTGTGGATGCACTTTAGCAAAAACCATCAGGGAACTTTGAGGAACAAGGTTTATTACTCACAGGTGCTGGAGGGTACTTTGTGTACTCGAGACCCACACAGTGAGGTTGAGGAGGGGGAAGAGAAAGAGGTGAAGGAGGGCAGTCAGACCTGGGGTCTGTCTTTATAAGGGTCCCAGGGTAGGATGCCCAGAGTTCACTCTTTATTGGCTAATTTAAAGCATAAGAGAGGGAATTAGGGGACCAGAAGGGATAAGTGGGGTCATTCAAATGGTTAGTTATCTATATCAGTCAGGACTCTGAAAGCTGTACCTTCATGGGTAGGATGGCCTAATTCCTTATCTTGTTTTGCAAGTAGCTGTGTCCTGTAGCTGGCCATAGTTTATTGAAATGGATATCTTCTGAGATGGATGCCTTGGCAATCAAATCTTAATGTCAGGTACTTAAACTGCAATCAGAAAGCTTACTGGACCTGTGAACCAAAGGATCTCGGTTCGATTCCCAGTCAGGGCACATAGGTGCCTGGGTTGCGAGCCAGTTCCCAGCAGGGGACACACGAGAGGCAACCATACATTGATATTTATCTCCTTCTCTCCTTCCCTTCCCCTCTAAAGATAAATAAGTAAAAATCTTAAAAAAAAAAAAAAAAAGCTCACTGCTAGGTACTTAGTTTAGACCCTGACTTAAAATCTTAGTGTTTTTGACTTGATACTCAATCTGCCCTCTTCATTTTATCAGTTTCGAAGATAACACTTTTTCTTTTCAGTAGTTTTATTATCTATTGCTGTATCAGATTGTCTCAAAACTGAAGCAGTTTAAAACAAATGTTATTTTCTCATACAATTTCCGAGGGTCAGGAATCTGGCAATGGCTCAACTGGGTAATTCTAGTTCAGAGTCTCGCACAAGTTTCAGTCACATTAAGGGTCACTGAGACTGGAGGATTCACTTCCAGGCTCATCCATGTGCTTGTTGGCAGGTCACTTTCATAGGGCAGCTCACAACAAGGCACCTGGCTTTCCCAAGAGCAAGAAAGAAGCCCTGGTGATTTTTAATAACAATCTGAGAACTGACATAACAGCTTTCCTGTCCTAATCTATCCATCACATAATTCAACCTGGTTGTGAGAGAGGAGTATAGAGGATGTGAATGCCAGGAGGTGAGGATCATAGGGAGCCGTCTGGGAGGGTGGCTGCCACAATAGTGTTTCCCCCTATTTTTTTTAAATTTCTGTCACCCTAGGTCAGGCCTAAAGTAGTTCGTGTTTGGAGTGTTTCTGTGGTTCCAGGTAACATGTTCCCTCCCGTTCCATCTTCTGAAATGGCTTTCCCTTAGGGGCCAGTTTAATTATGTTGTTATTCCTCTCCTTAAGCATCATTTTACTTATTATTGTTTACATAATAACTTACTTTGGACTTACCCTGTGCTAAGTGCTCTATTAACTTAATTCTTTCACCAATCCAATGAAGTAAGTACTATTATTAGTCTCATCTTACGGATGAGGAAACTGAGGCACAGCAGAGAAATTAAGTAATTTGCCCAGGGTCACATAAGCAATTAAGTGAAGAAGTCAGGATTTATTCCCAGGTAATCAGCTACAGATCTTGCTTTTGTTCAGGCTCTTATCACATTTACAGCTTCCATAAGGCGGCCATGTCTTATTCCTTAACTTTTTAACTTTGTTTATTATTTATCTTCTAGGTAAAATAAACTACTATTTTCACTGTATTGTACTGTTGGGAACTGACCTGCCTGGTTTCAGAAGCTGTAACCCCCCCCATGGCTAAGGCTGAGTAAAAAGGCCTTAAGCTGCTAAGGAGACAAAAACTTATCCCCTCTCTCATATCCATCTGCTTGGCCTGGGCCGATGACTGGTTACCCAGTGCTGGGTAAGATTTCCTTCAGGGAGGAACAACCCAAGACAGGCGCAGTCTTGAAGGGACTGTAGAATAGGAGTGATGGGCCTTTACCCCTTGGCTTTGTTATAGCTTGAGTCCTTATTCCACTGTGGGAAGTCTCCTACTGTCTTGGCTACTTTGTTTCTCTGGCCTGACTCAAGCCTGAAAGAATGCCAGATAAGGGGAGTGCAGCCCTATACTATTCCAGGTGGTTCCTGGGAGCAGTCAGGCCTGAAAAAGAATGCATGAAATCCCATGAATCCTGCTTTGCTAAGGTTAATTCGTGTTAACTGTTTAGACTTCAAGCATAAAATGAGTTTGTTTGCCAAAGTTTTTTGGCCCTTTGGTGTCACTTTATCTATCAGACTCTGACTCAGAATAAACCCTTCTTGTTCTTTGAGTGTTATCTATCAACCGTATCTCCCTTCCTTGAACGTTACTGCCTGACACTATGCATTCCTATGCAACCTAAACCTAATAAAAGCCAAGGGAAAGAGGTGCTCGAGACTTTCTCTGAGACATTAGTCAACCTTTTCTCCCCAAGCAGATTTTGTCTTGGTAGTTTCATTTCATCTGCAATGCTGGGAGACACTGTGGGACAGAGTCTCCCTCATCGTACTTACTTGCCTCTTGGTATTTGCACATGCTCTTGGTTTGGAGCGATGCCATTCCGTTTTTGGCTCATTGAAAACTTAATCATCTGTCAAGACCCATCACGATTCATCCTTTTCCTTAATCCCAGTTGTAAATGAACTTTCTGTATTCCTTTGTAGTATTACTATTATAACTTCATGTCTTGTATTAGGTTTACTTTTATCTATGCTTTTATTCCCCTATAGTGTAGACATTGTAAGATTAGGGACTCTCGCCTGCCATGATCCCTTGTACATATTAGATAATGTAATAAATATCTGACCAATGAATGAAAGGAGAATTAGTTTAGACGCTTTGCAGGTATTTTATGTATGGAGAAATGTGGGGAAATACCTTGGTCAGAAGACTTTGGTACCAACCTCAGCTCTACAACTAAGCTAATTTTGCAATTTTGGACAAGTTTCATAGATCTTTCTGGATTCTTAAGATGAAGGTTGATATGGTCATGGACTAAAGTGGTAGAATTGGGAATAGTATTGGGAAAGGACTGAGTGGTAAGTTTATAAGAGGAAGATGAGATTAGGCACCTGATATTGAAAGATGAAGAGGGGACAATCAACAGTGACTCTAAGGTTGAACCTGTGAAAAAAGGGAAGGTCGAGGAAAGTTAGTTGCTTCTTACTTGATGTTAGGAGGTACAGATAAGTTGAAATTTAAGCTCCAGAGAGAAATTAGGGCTCTTGGTTCCTCAAAGGCTGGAAGTATTTTGGTTCTTTCCTCCTTCCTGCTTTTGCCCCCTCATTGTCCCTTTAGGTGCTGTGATTCTTGTTTTCTCTTTTTGCTTTGTGTTCTCCCTTCTCTTCCTAAATCGTCAAGAGGGACCACAAATACTCCCTTTATCAGTTGCTTACCTTTGGAGATTTTTGGATTCTCCCTTCACTCTCATAGTTCCTTTTGCCTCCTCAGACTGAATTATAGCTCTTCTACTTCTCTGCACCCTTTTCCCACTGAAATAAAGACTGTATCTTTACAAGATAATAAGGAAATAAAGAAAGATAGTTGTATTTTCCTGATGGCACTTTTTTCTTTAATTTTTGGGGTCCTCATCACAGAAACTTTGAAGTTAATAGATAATTTGTGAGGAGATACTTTTTGACCATGTAAATATCCTTGTCACCATCAAATTTTCTCCCACTGGTTTAAACGTTCATTGATGATTTTCTAAGTCCATTGTTTGTTGGTTTATATCAATATAGACTCATTTTTATTTTAGTCAGTAGGTCAAAATCTTTTACTGTTGTTACTAATTTGATGCTGGGATGGCCCACATTTAGCTAGTGAGAGCCCCTTCAGGCAGGCTCATGTGTCCTTTAGATACATTTTCATTATTCTTCGAACACTTTCTCACTCCCTAGTTCGAGATACTTCAGACTCATGTTGTGCTTCCCCGAGCCATCTCTGGAATCACCCATTTCTTTAGAAGAGTCAGCTGACCTGGGCTGATTTAATGTGTTAAAGAGGTAGTCTGGAGTTTTAAAAAATTGTATATAGGCTCTAAATAGACCAAATGATATTTTCCACTATTTATACTCTTTTATATAACTAAGTGAGCTTTGTCACAGCTTTGAGGGGAAATTGCACATTTATAGAAGGTAAAAACTACAGATACCTCCCATAGACCTGCTCCTACCATAGAAATTCCCCACACAGGATGAATGTGCTTATGGCTATTACATGTTAAAATACCATCTGTGTCATGACTGAATTTTAAAAAAATCTACATGATATTGAGGGGTTTTATTTATGATTTGGTGATCAACTCATAGTAGTGGACTTTAATTTGATTCCCACTGCAAATGTAAAATATTCCTTAAAATGCAAATTTAAAAACTTATGAAATGAATACATGTCTGTTGTAGACATTTGTAAACAAAACAGAATGCTTGGAACATAACTCAGTGTTATCAGTGTTGCTGGATATAAACTCCTTTCCTCACATTTTCTTCCTTTGAGTATCCTAAATATGTTACTCTGTTTTCTTTTGGTATAAAGCATTGCTGTCAACATTTGATGATAACATATTTTTTTAAAGATTTTATTTATTTATCTTTAGAGGGGAAGGGAAGGAGAAAAGGAGAGAAATGTCAATATCAATGTATGGTTGCCTCTCATGGGTCCCCTGCTGGGAACTGGCCTGCAACCCAGGCATGTGCCCTGACTGGGAATCCAGTCCCAATCCTTTGGTTCTCAGGCATGAGCTCAATCCACTGAGTTACACCAGGCAGGGCAAATGATAATGTATTTTTATTCACTTGTAAGGTATTTTTATTTTAAGTCTATTCACTAGAATATATCTTTATTGTTTCTGGGGTGGTATTTTCTGGAATGTGGTATGCTTCAATATGTAATTTCTTTTTTAATTTCAGTAAAGGTTTTTGAAATTGTAGTTTCTAATATTTGTTCTTTCCCATTGCTTTGGTTTTCCTCTTCAGGGATTCCTATTTTCTGTGTGCTGGGTCCCAAGAGAGATTTGATCACTCTATTTCTCTTGAATCCTTTCTTCTTTGGAAGGTAAACTTAAAAATTTTCTTCTCATTACCTCTGTTTCTCTTGAGATATTATCTGTGATATCTGCTTGTTCTTGAGTTGCTTCTGATTTAGTCCTTTTCTTTTTCTCAAAGTGATTTTTTAAGGCATAATTTCTGCCCATGATTTTATTGACAAGATGCTAGAATTAAAATCTTGATCCAGCTCTACCACTTACTAGCAAGTAACCTAACATGAAGAAGACTCAGCAAGTTGCTAAATATCAAGACACCTCAGCTTTCATTCATTTTTATTCTGCTTCAGGATTGTTCTGAGGAGTAATGTGTTTTATCCAAATGCACAAAATCATAGTTAGAACAATTAAAAGTATTCAAAGATAGTCATTAAGGCAAAAACCCCCACAAATATATCCCAACATACAAATTTTTAAAGTGTATGGGGAAGTATGGGATGATTTTTAAATAATTTTATTGTACTTCTTAAGTTTTGTCATTTCATTTCTGAGTTTTTGTTAGATAGGACAAAAGTGTCAAGGTCTGAATGGTTCTTACTAAATGCTATTCTTGCTAAATGTTAAAACGTAGCACAGTATTTTTCATTAGGCAACTGCAAAGAAGAAATCAGTGTGTAATTGATTAAATAGTATATATAAGCAGAGGCTAAGCCTCCCTTTGGGAAGAGGGAGATTTGGATGTGGATCTTTTGTCTCCTTTACTTGCTGCGAGTAAGTAAAACTGCCTAATGACAACCACATCTCATTCTTGAATAAAACAGCCCAGTCAGCGAACCCCTTGAGTTTGGTAACATTTTGGTAATCTGAATACCTTACTTTGCTTTGAAATACAGTAGGTGTCACTTAACGTTGCCAATAGGTTCCTAAAAACTTCAACTTTAAGTAAAATGATGCATAATAAAGCCAGTTTTACCATAAGCTATTTGATATAAATAAGAGTGGCCTATTTATGGTTATGGAAAACATCACCAGACTTCCACATAAAGACTCAAGTCTTCTAATCTTAAACATTGAAATTAATGTACATGATACATAACTTAAGGAAGATTAATAAAAACAAGTAAGAGTCTATCCCTGAAGGTCAGAGCACCAAGCAGGAACCCACTCTGCACAGAACACCCTTCTATCGCAGGGGCAAACTCACCCACCCACAGTCACCCAAACTGGGACATTCAGACTCGCCACTCAGGTCACATGCACATCTTTGGGATGTGGGCGGAAACTGGACCCCCCAAGAAAACCCTCACAGATGTGGGGAGAGCCTGCAGCAGTGGTCTCCGGCCAAGAGTTGATCTTTTTCCAGTTGATCTTTCTCTCAACATTATAATGAAATGATATTGAATCTAACATGTTATGCAAAGACCTACTGTAGTAGGTTACAGTTTTTCTTTCTGTTCGATGGGCATTATTTCTGTGCTTTCTGTATTGGGATATTATTTTACTTTTTTGTTTCTTTCTAATAATAACTGGGATTTGTCTCTGATCCGATTCTGTTGCTTATTTTTGTTTTACAGTTTTTTTCTGAATTTTTAGGAGGCAGAGTTCAAAATAGCTTTTATAACTTATGTTTTTGTAGTTTGCAAAAACATGTTTTCATTTATTTGTTGTTTAGATATTTCTTGGCTTTGTTCCCTTCCACCACTCAATTTGGACTTTTTGTTTTGTTTTGTTTTGTCTCTGTCATCCTTTGCTGCTGAACAGATTCCACTCCCAACAATTCTGTCCTCAGTGTTGGGCCCTTTCTGGGAAGGTAGTCCTAGCTGACTGGTTTTTAAGTGCCCTAGACTTCTTCACCCTTTGGATCTTGGGTGGAGCCCCTGCCCTCACCCTTCTTGAGGTACCATTCTCAGATGGCCTGCTCCACTCACTAGTGAACACCAGATGTCTGTGCGCTCAGATGCTGCTTTGCTCCCTTGCTTCTCTCAGCTTCTTGCCTTTGAGATAAGATGCCGTGCATGAGTTTGGAGGGTTGCTTGTTGATCCTCACCCACTTGTATTTTGACTTCCTTGATTGGTTGTAATTGTTTCCAAGCACTTTTGGTTTTGTTACCTCATTATTCTTTCTTTACATGGGAATTCAGAGACATTTAAAAACTAGCAGGATGACAGCTAGTTGAGGGGGGAGGAAGTGAGAGGGCGGGTGGATTGTGCAAAAAGGAAAAAGGACTCATGGACATGGGCAACAGTGTGGTGATTGCTGCCAGAAGGGGTGGTAATAAGGGCACTAAATGGTAATGGAAAAAGTACAATGAAGATTAAACGAAAAGATAAAATAAAAATTAAAATTATGCCTTTATTGTCGCCATTCCTGAATTGCCATGTTGTTCATTGTCAATTTAATGAAGTTGATTTTTTTCTTTACAAATTATAGAGAAAGAGAAATTTGGATCTGGAATACCCGTCCTTTCCAGGAGATAGTCCACTGCAGGTCAGAAAAGCAGGCCTCAGGACAGTGGGGGCAGCTGCTTCCCTCTCAGAAGCATGGCTCAGGTGTGAAGAAGGATTTCAGGATACTTCTGGAATTCCGGTAAAGTAGTTGTAAAATTGTTTAGAATCTAAGTGTGTAGGCCACTGTAATTATATTTCTTTTAATTCCCTTTCTTATTTTCTTTGAGGACACTATCATCAGTGTATTACTGTACTTTTTTTCCCTCATATTTTAAAAGATTTTATTTATGTATTTTTAGAGAGGGGGAAGGGGCGGAGAAAGAGAGGGAGAGAAATATCAGCATGATCAGCATGTGGTTGCCTCTCATGCGGCCCCCACTGGGGACCTGGCCTGCAACCTAGGCATGTGCCCTGACTGGGAATCGAACCAGTGACCCTTTTGTTCACAGCCCATGCTCAAACCACTGAGTTACACCAGCCAGGGTTTTCCCTCATGGAATTCCTTTAATAACTGTGGCAAGTTAGTATTCACCTATTTATGTCATGTAGAACCTTTATACTTCTTTGTTTGTATATGAAGGAAACCTACTGAGAATTTTCTGAGAAGAATGTTCTCAGAAGAACACTGAGCATCCTCTTCTTTATAAGAAGTATATTTATGAAATGCATATATATTCAGAATTTTTTGGCAGTGACGTATTGTAATTAATTTTTGTAAATGTAATTTTAAAATACAATATGGAGAAATACTAAATGTTAGGCAGCTTTCTGCTTAGATTCAGGAAAAGTTTATAAGTATATGAAGAATGTATGCTTTGGGAATAATTACTGGTGAATATAAATAAAGGAAAACAGAGAAGAACATGTTAAGGAGGGTATAGTTAAGGTTTTGAATATTTTACAAATTACTGTTGGTTTTTAGACCTGGCCACATAAATTACTACCTTGTTGTTGTTGTTATTTTTATTATTATTATTATTATCTGCCTATAGTCATTAGCAGCTGAAAAGAAGACTATTACAGAAAAACACCTTGAATTATTCACCAGTCCCCCAAAAGGTAATATTTTGTTGATTTCTTGATAGAAAAGGTATAAGGATAATATAGTCTCTATGATTTATTTGCTTTCTTTTAAGCTGTTATTTACATAGTTTGAATAGATTACATATTCATGTTAAAAAACATTCAAATAATGTAGTAAGATACTTTTTTTTTTCCAGAATTCTCTCACCTTTGTCACTATCTACCCCATTTTTCCTGCTTCCTATAGGTAATTATTAAAGTTTTACATGTGCCATTTTTGGGTTTGCTGTTATCCCCAGATCCTATTAGCTCAGGATCATAGCTTTAAGGTTTAAAAAAAGTTCTGATTTGCAAAATAAAATTATGACTTATACTACTTAAGGCAATGAAATTCTTACCTGGCAAATTAGGGAAAACTTTCCATTGGAGTTTCAAATAGAGTTTCTGTTGGAGTGTTTGAAAAAAATGGGGCTCCTTCTGAGTTCTGCGGTGGTAGTGTAGGGTCTGTCCTTGGGGCTGTGAGGTGGAAGCTGAATTTTCTCAGGAAGAGCGTGGAACCTGAAGATTTAGAAATTTCTTCTCCAGGACCTCTAGTTTTAGCCAGAACCTGTTATATTTGGCTACCTCCACTAAGGAGACCTGAGTGAAATTAAAGATTTTTAAAAATGTGTGTTGCTGCTGTAGTAAAATTTTAGTTAGTAAGAAAGAAGAGGGCTGGGGCATCAGCCAGCCTTGACTCTGCTGACTCAGTTACACTGTCGGCGGGCAGGGAGAGTCTTGAGTCTCGAGGGATCTCATTTGGCACATAGTATCCTGACTGTGTCCTGACTCTGTGATCTTGGGAAGCAAGCTAAACATGCCAAGCATCAGTTTCTGCATCTGGAAAATGGGACTAAGAATGTGTGCCTTATTGGGTTATTGTGAACTTAAAAATAAAAAGTAATAAAAATGCCTGGCTCAATTGCTGTTATGTTTGATGGCAAAAAGAACTATGTGAAGTGTGGTCACAGTTCTGCAGAGTGGGAAAACTGTGAATAAGAGACTAAACACTTTGAGCTATACTGTTATTTCACTAACATTTAAGAGGGTTCTTTCTTTGCAAGTGAAAATAAATTTTCTCAAATTTTTAAAGATTCGTAAAATTCTCTATTATAAAATAAACTGTCACGCATATTTTTGTAATGCCATTATCTTCTAATGGGTCTGCAGAATTTAACTTTTCTTATCAGTGCCAAATGCTGTGATTTTTCAAAGGTCAGTTAATTCTGATTTCTAAAGTATCATAATATATTGTATGGAGAAAATAATACTTTATAGATGTGACAAATCTTTCTCTGGACATTTTAAGTATAGTTAAATTCAACTTGGATTTGACTTTTATCTAATCACAAAAGAATCTTTTCTGCTGCCTTTTATCTCATTACAAAAGATCTTTTGGAATTGATTTCCTTGTGCCAGTTTAAATCGAGTTGTCCAAAAATTTTGTTTGCTTTTTCCCTTAGATGGCTCTAGTAGGTTTAGTTGTCTTTAACTTCATTCAAAACAGTTCTGTTAGATTATATTGTGACATCTGTCAGAACAGCATGCGTTTAAAGAAAATTTATAACAATTGGTGAATTTTTGTGTAGCCATCTTAGTATTGAAGATGGAAGAAAATATGCAACATTTCAACATATTATGCCATATTATTTCAAGAACGGTAAAAACAGCTGAAAACCAAAAAGATTTGTGCAGTGTATGGAGAAGGTGATGTGATTGATCAAAAGTGTTGAAAGTGGTTTGCGAAGTTTTATGCTGGAGATTTCTTGCTGGATGTCAGTTGAGTAGACCAGTTGAAATTGATAGCTATTGAATTGAGACATTAATTGAGAATAACCAGTGTTCTACCCTGTGGGAGATAGCCAACATACTCAAAATATCCAAATCAATAAACTTATTTGTGAAAATGAAAAATGTATCTTTTATTTCATAGAAAAAACTAACTGGACTCTCTGACCAACCCAGTGTTTGACCTACTATGCTGTACTTTCTACTCTGTAGAATATTCAGTATATTTTGAAAGGCTAGATTCTGTGTATAACTACTTTATTTACAGCATAAGCAGCTTGTGAAAGCAAGATAATTTTGTTAATAATTTAACAAAAGCTTACAAGTAGAAAAAGAGATTGAAGGCATTTACTTTGAACTGGCTCACTTGAAAAATGGTAGCATCTAAAGTATGAAAGGCAGGCTATTAACAGAAATTTTAGGGTGTAAAAGTAATATTTTTATCAGAGCTGGAAATCAAGTGGGAGAGTGTACTTTTGCAAAGTGCAAAAAAGACAGAGACGTGTCTCCATGTCTCTGTTTATTCACATGTAAGGACTGTGAATCAGAGAAGACTAAAGAAGGGGAGGAAGTAGAGGAGGTGGGAAAGGGTGAGAGAAGAAAGCATATGGATATTGAGCAAAGGACTTTTTGCCAGAATGTTCAAGGGAGATGGAAGAAGATAAAAACTTAAAAGGGAGCCCTGGCTGGTGTAGTTCAGTGGATTGAGCACAGGCCTACGAACCAGAGGATCCTGGTTTGATTCCCAGTCAGGGCACATGCCTGGGTTGCAGGCCAGTTCCCTGCAGGCCAGTTCCCAGCAGGGGATGCATGAAAGGCAACCATACATTGATATTTCTCTCCCTCTCTCCTTCTCTTCCCCTCTAAAGATAAATAAATTAAATTTTAAAAAAAGCAACAAAAAAACTTAAAAGGGTCTGGAACCTTTGTAGATAGTGATAGTGATAAAAAGGCAGAACTTTAAAAAATGTATTTACCAAACAAAATGAAACTATGAAGTAAACAAGAACTAATGTTTATTTTTTTCCTGAAATACCTTGCGGAAATTTTGTTACTGAGGTCAGAAGTCTGATCCTTGAGATGCATTACTAAACTTTTAAGATTTATGTTGACCTGGTTTTCTCCTTGTTGACCATGGCTTTCTTAAGGGCAGACCCTTCTCTGTTGCTCATCTTTATATCCTTAGGTATATTAATTTGCTAAGGCTGCCATAATAAAATATCTCGAAGTGTGTGATTTGAACAACAGAAACTTAATAATCTGACAGTTTTGGAGGCTAGAAGTCCAAAGTGAAGGTGTTGACAGGGTTGGTTCCTTTCAGGATCTTCCCCAAGTGTCTTGTCTTGGCTTATAGATGGCTTTGTTCTCCATGTGTCTTTTCATATCATCATCCCTTACTAAATGTCTAATTCTGTGTCTAAATGACTTCTTTTTATAATGATAACTATCATTAGAGACCATCCTAAAGACCTCACTTTAACTTGATTAACTCTGAAGACCCTATCTCCAGATGAGGTCCTATTTTAAGATGCTCGGTGTTAAATTTAATATATGAATAAATTTTAGTGTTAGACTTTTAACATCAGATGCTAACATAGTGCCTGGCACGTAGCACACACTCAGAAATGTTTACATGTGTGTAGTAAGTATTCCTACAGTCTGGCCGGTGTCCTTCCTGGAGTTTCACTGGAATGGGACATGATTTCAAGAATAACCCTTTTTAGCAAATAAAATTATTTACTGACTAATAAGTTCCTTGTAGTGGTTTTACTGATATAAATTATACAGTTAAGTGCCTATAATTCATAGGGTTATTAATTCCATGAATTAGTTATATAATCATAAGAATAGTGTTAATTTCCTTCCTTAGCCCTTTTAGGCTGTTGACAAAAATACTATTGACTGCGTGATTTATAAATAGCAGAAATTTTATTTCTCATAGTTTGGAGAAATTACCTGGAGGTAATTTGGAGGCTGGAAGTTTAGTATAAGGTGCAGAGATGGCACCTTGTTGCCTTATCACATAGCAGAAGGGGCCAGGGATCTCTCTGGGGCTTTTTTTTTTTTTAATAGGACAGTAATTCCGTTCATGAGAGCAGAGCCCTCAAAGATCTCACCTCTTAAAACCATCATGTTGGGGATTAGGTTTCAATGTGTGAATTTTAGGGAGACACATTCAGTAAGTAGCCATCCACCTCCTTTTTGATTTACTTTTCCAGGTGCAAAATAATGAAAGATTGATAATGTGTTTTTGCAAGCAACTGCATAGCTTAGCTTTATTAGCTATTTAAATCAATACAGATTTTATGTTATTCTGAACAGTTTATTTTTAATTTTATATTTTGAAGGATAGACAATTTTAGTAATGCTAGCATTTAGGTTAATTATGAACATGAATAGAAAAACAGCTAGGTGTACGCCAGAGTCATACAAAGAGAGACGGAGTTGCGTGGCTTCCAGGTGAGGGCTAGAGGGACAGTCACCAATGTCCCAGTGTTGAGTCCTCCTCTCGCATGGACCTAGGGCACTGTCTGCCCTGTGTTTATCGCAGGGTTATTTACAGTAGCCATGACATGGAAGCTATGCAAGTCCCCTTCACCAGAGTGAATAAAGAAGATGTGGTACTAATGTGTAGTGTACTGTTGCTAACTCGGCTATGAAAAGAATGAAATCCTCCCATTTGAGACAACATGGATGGAGCTAGAGGTTTATATTAAATAAAACAAGTCTGACAGAGAAGGACAAATACTGTATGATTTTACTTATATGTGGAATCTAAGAACAAAATACATGAAAAAAAATAGAAACAGACTCGTAAATGTAGAGACAAGCTGGTGTTTGGCAGGCAGAAGAGGAAATGGCCTGGGTAGAAAAGGTGAAGGAATTGGGAAGTACAAATCGGTTGTTATAAAACAAGGATGTAAAGTATAGTATAGGGAATATAGTCAATGATATTATAACTATGTAGGGTACTGGAGTTATCTGGAGGGTCACTTCATAAATTACATTATTGTCTAACCACTATTCTGTACATTTGACACCAATGTAATATTGAATGTAAGCTGTATTTGAAAAATACAATTTAAAAATTAAAGTAATATAAGGTATCCTGGTGAGAGAACTTGTCTATATCTCAATGGTATTAGTATCAATATTTTGGCTGTAAAATATCGTTTTATAAAATATTATCAATTGAGGAACTGGGAAAAGAATACAAAGAATTTCTCTTTTATAACTATATGTTCTATTATCTTGAAATAAGTTTAAAGTTTTTCTGTTAAGAGTTTTAAGTGTACTCCTGTTACCATTGTTCTTAATACAGCAAAGGAGATGCACAGAAGCATTTCTATTATACGTAAGTTCTGGTTTTGGAGTTTGTGATTTGTTTTGTTTTGGGTGTCGTTTTGTTTTAGGAAGTATTCTAGGACATTATATAGTCCATAATTATTTCAATGTTTTTCTTGTCTTTTATAACTTATTTCAAACAGTTCTTCTTTTTCTTCTTGCAATAGGGTTTCAATTTAAAGCATCTTACCCTGGTTGCACATACAATTTTAGGCAGGAAGATTTGACATAAGACATTGTCCCCACTGGCATCAGAATGTGTGTTATTTGTAATTTTGTCAAAGAGACATGCATTAAATCTCATTCTGATAACTATATTAGGTGATTGTTTTTTAATGTATTTTCTTTTTCTTTAACAGAAACAATTACATCTAAGAGTACCAGTGGGCTTACGGAAATAACTTGGAGTTCCAGTGGAAGTGATGAGTCAGGTGAAGGTAAAACACTTTTTTTTAATAATAAAATACTTTTTAAATTTTAATTGTTGTTCAAGTATAGTGTTCTGTCTTTTACTCTCATCCCAGCCCACCCAGCCACCCAACCCTCCTCACTCCCCCCCTAAAACACTTTTTAAGTGACAGAAAAGTGATGGTCATAGTTCTAGAATAGACAAGTTTTGTACCAGGAGTTTTATGTCCAGAAGATGGGTAACTTGATAATTGTGTAAGAAATCCAGTTTTTATTATGTTTTGGGTTCAATATTGGGAAAGAATTACATTCCTTTTCTGATACTTAGCATTCATTATGTATGATCTTACTGAGTCCCAGCCTTTAGGCTAAGCCCTTTAGAAATATTTTCTCATTTAATATTTCTTATAATAGCTCTAAGAGATAGGTATTACCAGGAGTACTTTTATAGTTAACAACTTATGTTTGGACGTGGTGAAAATTGGTTTGGATTCCACTTTGGATTTCTTCAGTGACAAAGCCAGTTCTCTCAACTACTTCGTGCTACACACGCATATTGCCTTCTTTGTAACTTGTTTTGGGTAAATACCGTGACAACCAATGTGTGGTAGAAGTATAGCTTACTAACAAGCTTCTGTTCTGATGGCATTTTATATTCACTATTATGTCCTGCTTTTGTGAGTTAAAACAGGACTTCTCAGCCATGACATGTTGCCCTTTGGGGCCAGGTAATTTTTGTTTGGGAGAGGAGCTTTCCTCTTCATTGTAGGGTGTTTAACAGTATCTCTGGTTTCTGTCACTAGGTAAGAACAACATTTCTGAACCAAAAATGTATTCAGATGTGGTCAGATGTCCTCTATAATACAAATTAGCCCCCAGTTGGAAACCACAGACTTAAAGTTATGGAAATCATGTTATTATACATATTTTAAAATATACAAGGGGGGACCCAAAACAACCCTGCAATTTATGTATAAAAACTGTGTATTTATTCTTACATGTTTAAACTTCAGTCACCTTCAAATTACTCTCCATTTGTTGTAATACACCTATTGACACATTTTTTTTCCATTGCTCAAAATAGTTTTTGACTTGTTGATTTTGATGCCTTTTGGTGTTTCTGTCTTTTTTTTTCTGCTTCAACTCTTCCACATTGATGAAACATTTCAGTTTGAAGACTTTTTTTATCTGGCAAAACAAAAAGAAGTCTCTCAGGGTGAGACTGGGTGAATAGGGAGGGTGGGGCAGGGGAATCATGCTGTATTTGGTCAAAAAATGCTGAACACTCAGCACAGTGTGGGCAGGTACACTTGTAAATCACCCATCATGAAATAGGCAAATGTGTTGAGTTTTCAAAAAAAAAATTCACTGAAGCTGAGCGCAACCTCTCACAGCAATGCTAGCTGGTACACAGCCAGGTTCCTTAAACACTCACCTAATGGGGGAAACCTGCACTACAAAGAGCCCATTTCCAGGAGATAATGCCGTTTTTGTTTTGGGTCCCCCATTGTATAGCTCATTGAAGATATATAAAAGTTTTTATGCTTTCAGAATAAACTTTGACTTTTTTTAACTCTTACTTTAACAGGTTACATTATTTAGTTACTTAGTTACTCAACCTTACCTTTGTACAGACATCTCCTTTAAAAGGTGATTACTTTCTCTTCTCTTGGCCATTTTGTATGACATCTGGTAACTACCAGTTGACATTTTAGTAATAGCCAGGTGAAGTGATTTCTTAAAAAAAAATTTTTTTTTGATGCTAGAGAGGGGAAGGGAGGAAGAAAGAGAGAGAGAAACATCAGTGTGAGAGAGAAGTATTGATTGGTTGTCTTTTTCATGTGACCCCACTGGGGGCCGAATCTGCAACCCAGGCCTGTGCCCTGACCAGGAGTCAAACCAGTGACTTTTCAGTTTGCAGGGTGATGCCAGACCAACTGAGCCACACTGGCCAGGGCTGAAGTAATTTTTTAAGGTTGTATGAGGTCTGTCTAGAAAAGGTCTAGCCATTGTTAATACAACAAGAACGGTTTATGCAGCATCAATTTAACCTTGCAGCCAAGGAAGTGGAATGGAATGCACTTGTGTGAATAATGACAACTTCCCTTACCTAGTCAGTGTGGGTGGTAGATGACATTGAGTGAGTGTGTATATTGTGTGGCTGTCACATTCAAAATGACTGAGCAAGTAGAGCAATGAATCCACATCAGATTTTTCATTAAGCTTGAACATTTCCTACACGGAAACTGTTTAGATTATTCAGAAGGCTGCAGCTATAGGCAGCTGGTGATTGGCAGCTTCATCACGACAATGCACCCACTCACGCATCACATCATCTTGTGCAGAGTTTTTTGGCAAAACATCAAATCACCCAGGTGACTCAGCCCCCTTATAGCCCAGATTTGGTACCCTGCAACTTCTGGCTTTTCTCAAAACTAAAATCACCATTGAAAGGGAAGAATTTTCAGACATTGATGAGATTCAGGAAAATATGACAGGGTAGCTGATGGTGATTAGAACCGTGGAGGTCCCAAGATGTCTACTTTGAAGGGGACTGTGTGAGGTCATTGTCATGTGTACAATGTTTTTTGTATCTTGTGTCTTCTTCAATAAATGTCTCTATTTTTCATATAACATAGTTGGATACCTTCTGGACAGACCTTGTATGTAAGCTAAATATTGTTATTTCAACCACATTAAATGAAATTCATGTTATGAAACTTGGTTTGTCTTTACACATCTCAGAACATATTTTCATTGTTAAAAGATATATGCTTTTTATGGATGAATAGTGAGGTATGAATTATATCTGAATTAAAATGAGAGCACAATTGCTTGTCTAGCTTTTTCTTCTCTCTTCCTTTTTCCCTTCCCTCTCTCCCCTTCCTTTATTACTTTCTGCTTTTTACCTTTAATTATCATTTATCAAGTTCTTGTTTTATCTCAGATACTTGGCAGGTTATTATGTATGTTATTTCCTTTGTAAATAAATTTATTTTGTTTCATTACTGATGAGAATTCAATAAAAAATTTGGGGTGAAAATCTGAAAATCTTTATTAATGGAGGATTGATTAAATAACTGTGGGTCAACTATGCAGTGGAATACTATATTACAGAAAAGAATGAAGGTGCTTCATATTTACTGATGTGGAAAAACCTGTCAGTTAAGTAAAAAAGCATCAGAAAGGACAAAATTAACAGCTTTAACAGGCTGAAGAAACTCTAGAAGGATGCAAAACAACTAATAAAAGTAGTTACCTGAGAACTGGAGCGGGGTAAGGGTTCAGAGAAATAGGATGGCTAGCGAGAATAGTAGTGGGAATGTACTTTTCATTGTTTTTAATACATATTTAAGTTATTGAGTAACATGGATCTTTTTTAACTACTGAGAATAAAACACATTGACTTAAAAATTAATAAAGTTGGGTTTAAATTGTATTAAGCTTATATAAAATTGAGTTTATCATTGTATTTTCTAGATGAACTACCGTGTGTTGACTGGGACAGTGACAGTGACAGGGAAGACACCAATGAATACAGTGAATTTGAAGATGGCCAGAGTGCTGTGGAAATATCAGACTCAGCTTCTCGTGCAAGCAGTCATTCTTTGAAAAGTGAAGAGAGTGTTTCTGAGCTTCCTAAGGTAAGAATGATTGTTTCAGAATTTTTTATTCTTTTTATGGCATTTATTAATCAGCCTTTTGGTGGTTTTTTACTCCTTCCTCAAGGATAACTTTTGGCTCTTAGTGGATTATTTTGTTTTTTTATCTCCTTATCTCTAGATAACAAGCTTGTAATGTACTTCTAAATATGGATAAATACGGAGTTCTCTTTTCACCTACTGCCCACAACCTACTACCCATTGAACTTTTCCCATCCCTCCATTCTTTCAGAGCAGATATATCATGGTTTGGTTAGATTAGTACTCAACATTACATACTTGTGAATAAAATTTATTTGCAACTAAGGTAGATATTATTATGATTACTTTTCCTTCACAACTCTTTATTTTCCTTACAGTTAATTATTTTGGTCTTTTATTTAAATAGTTTAATGTTTTCACCTTTGCATAGCTCTCCCCTTAAAATTTTTAGACATAGCAGGCATTTTATCAGTTTCGTTGTCTTGGAGAACTCTTTCCCACAACCTTCTAACTGCTCCAGTTTGAACTGAGCATCCTCTCTGCTTCATGGATGTTGCCGTCCTTAGGTCTCCCTTCATTCTCTTTCTGGGAATTCCCTTTACCTCCTCCTATTTGGAGCATCATAATCCTGGATTTCATGTCTACCTCTTTCTTGGTTTTCTCTCTCATTCTGATTGAGTACATCTTCCAGAAGCTTTCAAGAAAGGATTTGTGAAAGATAATTTTGTGAGACTTGGCATGTCAGAAGATGCATTTATCTCCTTTAATATGTGATTGAAAATTTGTGTAAAATTTCATGTTGGAAAAAAATTTTTCTGCGGAATTTTGAAGCCTTCATTGTTTTTTAGTTCCAGAATTGCTGTCAAGAAGGTGAAGCACCCTGGCTGTTTCTGTTGGTTGGAGTATCGTCCCGTAAACCGAAAGGTCACGGGTTCAATTGCACAGTCAGGGGACATATCCAGGTTACTGGTTTAGTCCCCATTGGGGCGCATGCGAGAGGCAACCAATAGATGTTTCTCACATCTTTCCTCTTTCCCACCCTTCTCCCCTCTCTCTAAAAAAAAAAAAATCAATAAGCATGTGTTTGGGTGAGGATTAAAAAAAGAAAAGAAAATTGAAGAAGCCTGAAGCTAGTATCACTCTTGATATTTTAAGATTTTGATTGTGCTTTGCCTGGTTGTAGTCGGGGCGACTCTTCCAAGAGACCTTTTCCAGGGAAGTGACACAGATCTGCCTGATTGCTCCAGCAGCGAGTTTTGATAACATGTGTAAACTGTTGTCTGCCTGGGGACCATATTAGTGACTCAGTGCCCAGAGTTTTATCGGCGGCTAGTAAAGTAGGCACTCTGCCCAGCAGGTACCAGCATTTCAGATTTCAAGAAGGAAAACCGGTAGTCAGCATAAGCCCTATTGTTTGCACAGTTTCAGCATAGGGAGCCACTCTTACCACTTAGGGGATGACGGAAAGCCTCCTAAAATCGATGTTCCCAGCGGTAGACAAGGATCAGCATTACAGGTAGGCTTTCAGAAGATACCTATCCCAGGTCTGCTATGTTAACTGTATTCTTCACATAATGGGTTTAAAGTTTTCATCACATTTGGAAAGTGTTTTGCCTTTTTCTTTTCTTTGGGGACTCCCAATTAATATGTATGTTAATTAGGCTGGTTAGTTATGTTATGAATCATTTTTTCACTCTGTTTTATTTTGAATGGCTTCTATCTGTGTATCTTCTGGTTTAGTAATCTTTTATTCCTTCAGTGTCTAACTGCTGTTTATACTATTTAGTGTATTTGTCATCTCTAAAAATTTGATACGAATCTTATATTGTTCATGTCTCTTCTTACCGTGGTCATATTTTCTCTACGTTTTGAACAAATAAAGTATATTTACAATAGTTTTAATGGCTTTTTCTGTAAATATATCATGTGTCATTTCTGTATTTATTACTATTGGTTGATAGTTCTTTTCACTATAGGTTTTTTTTTTTCTTTGCATGCCTAGAAATTTGTGAGTGGATACAGACTGTGAATTTTATGTTGTTGGGAGGTGAATTTTTAAAAATTTCTTCTTATATTTTGGGGCTTTGTTCTGGGGTACAGTTACTTTGAAACACTTTTATCCTTTTGGTTGTTGCTTTGTGATTTGTTAGGTGGGTCTCAGGAACTGCTCACTCTTATGTCCCACTGCTGAAGGAAGATCTTGAGTATTCTGTGTAATACTTTGAATTAGAAGCTTTTCCATTCTGGCTGGCTGGAACAGGTACTGTTTTCTGACCCTCTGTAAACTCTGGGCTTCTGACTGGTTCTTTCCCTGGCCTACAGTAGTTTCTGTACATGCACATGCTGATCAGTACTCTGCTGAATTCTTGAAGGGAGTATGTGAGGTTCTCTGTGCAGCTCTTCCTTTTCTGGTACTCTGTCTTAGAACTCGAGCTACTTTGGTCCGCTTGGTCTCTGAGCTCTCTCTTCAACTCAGGGAACCTACTGGGCTTCACCTCACTTTTCCCCTCTACTGTGTGGTTTGGAAATTCTCTCAAGAAAGTAAGGTGGGACAATTGTAGAACTCAATTTTTTGTTTCCTGACTTGAAGGGGTTACTGTTATTCTTGCCTGGTACCCAGTTTCTTGAGAACCGTTGTTTCATGTATTTTGTGTGGCTTCTTTTCTTTTCCTTTTTCATTTGTTTCAGAAGGGAGGTTAAATCCAGTACCTGTTCTGTCTCAGCCACCTTCCTGATTTCTGTGCAGTCGCACAAGTGAAAGATGCTCTTCATCATCATTGATCATTAGGGAGATGCATATCAAAACAACAGTGAGATACCACCTCACACCCATTATGATGGCTGAGATCTATAAATGGGGAGAAATGCTGAGGATGTGGAGAAATTGGAACCCTTGGTCATTGTTGGTAGTAATACAAAATGGCATAGCCACTATGGAAAACAGTTTGGCAGTTTCTCAAAAAAATTAACGTAGGAGTACCATATGATTCAGCATTTCTACTTCTGGATATACTCAACAGATCTGAAAGCAGGGACTCAGACACATACTTGTACATTGATGTTCATAGTGGCATTATTTACGATGGCACAAGGGTGGAAACGACACAAAGGCCATCAACATAAATGGATACACAGAAAATGTGTGAGCTTGTGTATACAGGCTGGGGCAAAAGTAGGTGTACAGTTGTTTGTGTGAAAAATAATGCAGTTATAAAGAATAATATAATAATAAACTTTCACATATGTAAGCCTACCTTTGCCCCACCCTGTATATGTATATATAAATGTGTAACGTGTATACATATACATGTATATATACACATAATGGGTTATTATTCAGGCTTACAAAGGAGTGGAACTTCTGCTACCTGGTGCAATGTGGATGAACCTTGAAAACATTATGCTAAGTAAGATAACCCAGACACAAAAGGACAAATACTGTATGATGCAACTTATAGGCAGTACCTAGAATAGGTAAATTCATAGAGCCAGAAAGTAGAATAGAGATTACCTGATGCTGAAAAGTAAGGGGAGTTATTTCTTAAGTGTGTACAGAGTTTGGGGTGATGAAAAAAGTTACAGAAATGAAAAAGTATGTTGTAGAAATGGACAGTGAAGGTAGTTATACAACATTATGAGTATACTTAATGCCACTGAAGCGTACACCTAAAAATGATTAATATGGTAAAATTTTTATGTGTATATCACACAAAAAATGAAAAAGCTATACTGTATTTTAGAATTTTTTGTATACCATTACAAAAAATGAAAAAAGCTATACTGTATTTTAGAATTTTTTCTGTTATTAACATACATGTTTTTGAGGACTTCTTATTGTTGAGAATACAAAAATGTTTATGAAAGAATGCCTAATGAAGAAGGCAAAATGCCATCCTGTACTTGCACTTAAATCTCAGCTCAGGTCCCAAAGGACCGCCCTGAGCCATGAGACTGCTACCAAAACACCCATGGAATACATCACCTGTAGCCTTACCAGAAATGTGTCATGACTTAAAAGTTTCTGTTGAGCTTTCATGTGAACTGGACTAGCCAACCTTTACTTCTGTAAACTTTTTCAGTGTGAAAGAAAAGGCATTTATGATAGCATGGTCTTACTTTCTTATTGTCACGTTATACTGAAAACATGCTTCTTAAAATTTTTTCTGAATATTTATTGTGGTTGTTGCTTCAGTGGTTGAACTGCCTGTTTCTTCATGTTCCTGGATTTTTTTTTTAAATCCTCGCCCTAGGATATGTTTAGTGATTTGAGGGAGTGGGAGGGGGAGAGAGAGAGAGAAAGAAACATTGATGTGAAAGAGAACCATTGATCGGTTGTCTCCTGTAAGTGCCCTGATTGGGGATCCAGCCTACAGCCTAGGTATGTGCCCTGACCGGGAATCGAAACTGCAGCCTTTTGGTATATGGGTCAACACTGCAACCGACTGAGCCACTTGGCCAGGACCATGTTCCTGGCTTTTTAAAGCAGTTTATTTCTGCTAAGGAAGGTGGGTTTCCTATGTGTAGCTTCACATCTCAGCTGACTTGTCTTTATAATTTTAAGCTTGATTTGGTATTTCATTAGCCAGTTCTATAGTGATAAGATAAAATCTTCAATAAAGTTAGCTTCAGGAATTCCTTTTTCTTGTTTTGAAGTGAAAAATGATGGATTTGTTCTCATCATAGCTTAGTGCCATCACTAAATAAAAATGTAGTATTTTACTCTGGTCAGAAACTTTAATATTCTCATCAGGGAATTCAGTTTCTGAGGAGTTTTTTAAAAATATATTTTATTTATTTTTAGAGAGAGGGGAAGGAAGGGAAAAAGAGAGGGGGAGAAACATCAGTGTGGGGTTGCTTCCCACTGGGGGCTTGGCCCACAACCCAAGCATGTGCCCTAACTGGGAATCTACCTGGCAACCTGTTTGGTTCACAGGCCGGCACTCAGTCTACACTGAACCACATCAGGCAGGGCAGTTTCTGAGGACTTTTCATTTGTTTCT